TGCAGCCAGCACAATCTCCTGGTTACCACAGCAACTCTGACTACGGGCCTGCGCTAGTCAATCACCACATTACAAACACATACACGCAGATGGCAAGCAGGGGGGCTTCATGCAAGAACACAAACACACCCTCTCCCTCTCAAAGACAACAATTCATACTCTCGTATAAATCGGCATGTGCAATAAAAAACGGGCGTACGCGTTTTTTGAACATTTCCTCCAACCTCACCGCTGTTTCTTTGATGTGCATCTGCAGAGTGTTTTCTTTGAGTATGAACAGCAACAGCCTGTTGCTTTTTCTTTTTTAAACAGAAAATTGGTTTGTGTGTTTTGATGACACAGGACTGAAAGAAATTGGAGTAACAAAATAGTTAGGATTTAAGCAGAGTTGTTTTGTTTAGATAGGGCGTCAGGTAAAAGCAAGCCTTCTGCAGGTTTAGTCTATTTGCAATTTTAAGATACTTTGTTGGAGGAAAGGAGGCGGCACTGATATATTGTGAAAAATTTCCTACTCTCTATTCCAAAGAGAAATGACGAATGGTGATCTGATTACACTGAGAGGGAGCTCTGGGACAGAAGATGGATTTCAGGGGTATTTTATTGATATTTATATTCTGCACGTAAGCTGATACTATAGGCTTTGTTTTTTGGCTGAGTTTTGCCACCTATACACTTCAAAGGTCAGATCTCATATTGTTGTTGGACTTATCAAAGGATTTCTCATTGCATTTTACTGTTTCGTGTTTTGCACGAAATGCAGAGATGGTTATTCTATGAATAACCATCTCTCTATTCGGTTCAGGTTTTGATCAATTCCACACACCTCACTGAGCAGGATTCACATTATTCTAACTTTTCTTTTGTGAGGGATTGCTGAGATTTATTTCTATTTTTTGCATCTTGGTTCTTCTGATGTTTGTGGCATTTGAGTCATGGAGCGATAATGTCTGACTCATAAGTCAACTATGTAATCAACGCCCTCTTTACTCAAAGTCCATGCAGAACATTCAGGAGAACGACAGCTTTTTGAGCAACTGCAGAAGACAAAAGTGGAGCCTTTTGCTTTATTAGATATATTAGTGAAAGGATATTTATATAAAATGCTTAGACTATATGATCTTTAGGCAGTAAAATGCTAATGAAAAATAACTTTTCTTTCCTGTCTTTGTTATATCATCTCTGCAAACCACCCACCTACTTCCTGTTACCGTCTCAACCTGAATGTCAGAATGTTGAAGGTTAATTCTAAGCTAATCAGGATGCTTTAATTCAGGGGACTCAGCCCTGTGACTGAACAAAGTAAGGAAGAATCTCATTTTGGGTCCATGCATGTTTTTCTTTTTTCATTTCCTGATGTTTCTGATTAGATTATGCATCCATTAGTTCGCTGGCAATCATGTTGTTGCCAGTGGGACACAGTTTGGATTTACTACAGTAGCCCACCATCTGGTCCAACTTTACCATACATGGCTAAACATAAGAGTGGGATATAATTTTGACATCATTAGGTTCCCTAATCTATACGGCAACAGCTGTGGGGTTTTTTTCCTCCAAGAATGGAGGCAAACCATATTGACTTTTACTTTGCTCACGGGAGATATATGTCTGTTTTGACAAGCCACTTGTTTAAATATGAAGTTATTCACTTCATGAGATAGACAACAGAATATCTGTTCTCGTCTCCTTAAATGTGTAAATCTATATTCTTCTTATATAGTGCCATGAACTGAGCACAAATAACTGCACGAAATGCATTTGTCTTCTCGTTATTAGATGTGGAACTTTGTTGCTGGAGTGGATCTAAACACAAGCAGGAGAAAATCATGGAAAAATTATCGACAGATTCAAATATTTACAGTTTTAAGGCAGCAGAGGCTACAGAAATAGGCTGTATAAGATGAAGAGACCTGGGAACAACATGAACCATGATGGAGACAACAGGAGAATCCAGCAATGAGTAAATGAAAGAGACAGCACGTTAAGAGGACGATGATCAACCATTTTTTTTACGTTTTCTAATCCTTGCAGTCTTGCTGGTGCCAACCTCTAGTGTTTGATAGACAGAAAGCAGCGTAGACTGATGGCCAGTCCACCGCATATCAACACGAACATGAAAACCTTGTTCAGAAAGGCCCTTAGTCTACAACTGAACCCTGCATAGCACCTCTGTCTATGCGGACGTGCAATCTGGTGCATTTAACCAGAGCATATAACAAACTGAATATCCTACAGCTGAAAATCCTGTACTGGGAGAACTGGGAAGGGTTGCTTAAAATCCTTCGCAATGGGTTTGTGCAGCTTAAAATCAACACAAAACCATGAAATTATTACGAACACTGGAAATAACTGATTAACAGTGACACACAGAAACACTGGAAAAGCTGCTGTTCAGATCTTTTCCATGCTGTAGTGTCTTCCTTCCACCTGATTCATTACAGCAGTCCCCTCCATGCTGGTCATGGCTCAGGACAGGGGTCTGCAACCTTTCATATCCAAAGAGCCATTTTCCACCCCGGAGTCCGACCAATTAAAAGCTGTTTAGAGCTGCAAAGTATAAGATGACTTTAAAAAAAAAAAAAAAAAAAAACGTATTATCTCGTATAGTAAATTTGTTTCCATCTGAAACAACCAACAATTTATGTATTTTTTAGCTTTTGAAATAATATTAAAACACATAAATTCCAACTTAAATAAAAGAAAAATGGCCTCAAAAACTTATTTCTGGTTCTTTTAATATCATTCTTTTCCATCTTATAAAAACCACTAAAGCTTTTAAGACTGGTATTTATTATGTTACATTATTAAGCGCTTTATATACATTTTAGGCACAATTAAGATCCTCTGTAAGGGTCCAAAGAGCCATATGTGGCTCTGGAGCTGCAGGTTGCAGAGCGCTGGCTAAGGATATAAGCTCCGTGGCAGATCATGCAGCTAACCATGCTAGGTTGAACTTAGCTATATCATTTTTGAGCCAGTCAACAAACTAAGACATATGGGTTATCTGTCAGTGTACAGATTTCTCTTTCAGCTGTTAATAATCAAACCTGTTATCCAAGCACTGAACTTTAGCAGCTCAACTAACGACTCTGCTTCCCAAACTGTTGGCTATGTAGCTTCTCCTTTTGTATTTCTTACATCCCTGAAGGATATCTCCCCCCCAAGCATCGACTGTATAGAACGTTTAAGGCGCGATAGTCCTATTTCATTCTCAGGAAGATTGGTTTCTGGGAATTTGTGTGCTCCTAAAGGACAGATTGATATTATGGAAATCAGACTAAATATCTGTTTTATGAAGCCTTCTCTCTGAGGATATTTCACTCGTTAGTTCGGTATCCTTGGATATTGCATTTACTGGCAAGCTCTTTTCTTGTAATTGCAAAAAGCATAAAATCTTAGTGTATTATTACACCACAGGGGTTTTACATTTTTCTTTTCAATACGAAAGCCCACAGCTCAAATTAAAATTGTGGAGGCCTTTCTTGAAAAGGTTTGATTTTTTTTTTTTTTCCACATGCATGCACAACCTTTGGTGCAAATTATTGTGTTTGCTCCCACACTTTAACTACCTGTATAATAACTGGTGTTAAAAGAACCCCGCTAACCTGAATGGGTAATGTGGGAAAGGAAAATAAATTCATTTCCTTCCTTTTCTTTCCTGCTGTTTTTATTTTTTCTTCTTTTTTACTGTAAATGAAACAAAAATACAGCCATTAATTGTACACATTCAATAGTTCAAACAGTCACTATACATTTAAAATCGAATAAAAAATAATTCGCTTTTATTTTAATTACACTGTCACAAGAACAAAGCAATGAAATGTAGTAAAAACAAGCCATTCTCATGTTATTGTTATATAGGTAAGGACATCTTGACAAAAATTATAGGAGTCCTTTTTTAAGAAAGGGCCATAAATTCAAAAATTTCACTTTAATCAGTAGGATTAAAGTTAAAATGTTTCTATTTAGAATAGAATAGAAAATTCATTTACTCTTCCACACTGTTGGAATTGTGGTGTTATAGCAGCAAAATATTACAGCAAATTGGTCACACAAAGACCTTAAAAAGCGCATGAAAATAACCAAAAATAATTAAAACAAAAATAAACTAAATACTGTACTATTTTATTTATTTATTTTTGTTTATCTGTGTGTGGAGTAAATGTCTGGAATGGATTGAATGACGAGTTTAAAAAAATTCAAAATGCAAACCAATTTAATAAACTGATTAAAACCGAGCTCATTTCAAAATACGCTATATAAGATGACTGTTTAATAGTCTATAATGTAATTGATGACATAAATAGAACTTAAAATAATTGTACATGGCTAAACATCATGTGGAATGGAAACAAGTGTTTTTTTGGGGGTTTTTTTTTTTTGATGTTTTGATATTTAATTGAGGATAAATTGACAAGTAGGAAAGGGGCAGGACATTATAAGATGTATCTTCTACCTGCTCCCTTTCGAACAGAAAATATAAAATTTACATGTCACATGGGCAAAATAATTTGTTTTATATTTTCATTCTTAAGTTTGTTTCATTCAAATTTTTTTTCTTTCTTGATTGTTTTTACTGTCTGTTCGAAATAAAAAAAAAATAATAAAAAAAAATAAATAAATAACTAGCAGAAAATGATCTATTATCTTTTATTTAGTTAGAAAATTCTGATAGTGCAATGTTCTGTTCTATGTTCTGATGAGGGAGTTGGGGGGGTTAATGGATCTTGATGCTTCCTTCTGTCTGGTGTAAATTTGTCGGGCAAGAGTCAACAAACTCTGAAACAAAAGTCATGTCCTGTTTTCTCGAGCACAAACTATATCATGCAGTATTGAGAGCAAAGAGGGCTCAGCTTGTCAACAGCCTCTCCACATAAAGGCTTCTAGGATCAGCGACTGGTAACACAACCTGAGAAGATGCTGTCTTTTATTTTTTATTCTGCTGTGACGATTACCATCTCGTATGCTGCCATAAAAATCCTTCCTTTGTCTGTGTGTTTCAGATATTTACACGCTACGGGAAATGCTACACATTTAATTCAGGCCAAGATGGGCGTCCCCTACTGGTGACAATGAAGGGTGGGACTGGTAACGGCCTGGAGCTGATGCTGGACATCCAGCAGGATGAATACCTGCCTGTGTGGGGAGAGACTGGTAAGGTCAACTGGAGAGCAAATCTAACCGGAACTTTATAATAATGTTTTCTGCTCACTGCTGACATAAATTAAGATAAATGGAAGTGCATGTATAAAAAAAAAAAACATCAGAGCAATATGTCTTTTATACTGTCATGGAGAATTTATTTGACCTTTGAAGGCTTTTGTTTGATTAGATTTTATTAAGGGGTACAGTAGGAGAGTAATTAGGGCTGAATAGCAAGGTACATCAACCTTCAGGATTAAAAAAAAAAGTCATGCATTATTTATTAGTTATCTACTGTCTTTCTATCCATTCAAGTTCAATTAAAATATGTCTGTGGGTTTTACTGGAAAATGACAAAATACTGAATATTTCATGAAATTGTAACTTTAAACCAACACGAATCAAAGAAAAATAAAAACTCTCTTCCAGATACCTAATCTGCGACATTTCATCGATTCAGCTCATTTATTCAGGTTCAGCTCCTGATCTGCAGAGAGGCTTAATGGGGCTTTGGCTCTTTGATTTTAATGCAGCTGTAAATGCTGCTGTATGTTTATCACAGTGTTTTATGAGCACTATATAAATAATATTACAAAAAGGCCGCAGTGGTGGTCATCATTAAACAAGGAGCTAAAAAAAAAAAAGGTTTAACTTTACTGTTGTATTTAATTATAAGTCCTAACACACCTCAGTGATTAAATTTTAATTTTCTCATTCTTTATATAAGCTCATTTAATAACTGATGGTTTCACAATGGGATAGTGGAAATTATAATAAATACCTATCTGTATTATATTGTTTGGGCTTTAATTAAATTAAAGGTATGAAATAAAAAGGTAAATTAAATTTAAGTATGAAAAACATTTGTACACACTAACCTTCATCGGTAAACTGAGATTAAAAAAAAATAAAAAAAGGGGTTTTCATTGAGCCAAAATTCCAGGAAAGAGAAATGTTAAACAAGGTAAGATAAAAGTGTATAAAAATGCTACCTGGGCATTTTTAATGCTACCTGTTCAGAAGAAGAACACATCAAAACTAACACTCGATAACATGTCACTGAGTTAACATGTTTTTATTATATGGTTCTTAAATGGCAATAAATAGTTGCCAAACCTAGAAAATATAATAGCAATAGAAAATACTAAATGAGTGTGTGATCCATTTTTGCTTTTTAAATAAAAATTTTAAAAGAAGCCTGATAGTCAGGTAGTCTTCTGGATTATATAACATGCTGTTTATTTATTTATTTATTTGGAACAGTGAATGTTAAAGAGGTCATAAAATGATTCTATAGAGTATTTGGTGCTGGTTCTTAAAGGAATAGTACACCCAAAACATGATAAGCCTTCATTTTCTACTCACCCCTATGCTGAACAACACTCTGGAGTA